TGTGTGTTTAAGTGTGATTGTGTACTTAATTGTATGTGTGTGTGTGTGTTTAAGTGTGATTGTGTAATTAATTGTGTGTGTTAATGTTTAAAAGTGTGTTGGCGTGTTAAATTGTGCGTGTGTTTAAGCGTTCATTTGTGTATGTGTGTGTTTTAAGTGTATGTGTGTAAGTGTGTGTTTAAGCATGTCTCTGTAAGTGTGTGTGTGTGCATCGGTGTGTGTGTCTCTAAGTGTGTTTGTGTATGCATGTTAAAATACACTTAAACACACGCATGTAAATGTGTGTGTGTGTGTGTGTGTTCATAAGTGTGTGTGTGTTTAAAGGTGTGTGCCTGTGTGTTAAAGTGACTGCGCATGTTTATGTATTTGTTTGTGTGTTTTAAAGTGTGTTTGTGCATGTGTGCACTTAAATGTGTGTGTGTTTGTGTATGAGTGTGTGTTAGTGTATGTTTATGTTTGTTTGTGTATGTATGTATATTTAAAGTGTGTGAGTGTTTAAGTGTGCTTAAATGTGCTTAAATGTGTGTATTTAGGTGTGTTGTGTATTTAAATGTGTGTGTTAGTGTATGATGGATTCTGCAGTCAGTCAGCTCTGGCTTCTCCTCTGTTTCCTTCACTGATTCTTCAGCTGCTCCTTGAGGCTTGAAATCACTTTCCATACATCAACACTCTTTACTTTACACACACTTTATCCCAAACACACTTTAACACCAGTCATTTCACTCGCCATTCAGAGCAGTCAGACCAATGTTACACGCACGCACGCACGCGCACACGCGCACACACACACACACACACCTGCAGTGAGCTGTGGATCAGTGTAGAGCATCAGTCTTCTTCCTCTCAGACCGAACACTTTAGCCGTTTCTCTCAGCAGATCTGAGAACTGGAGGAGGTTTTTACCCTCAGGGTTCATCAGGAGCAGCGTCGCCACGTCTCCAGTCCGACACTCTACACACACACACACCACAACAACATGAAAACACTCTGCATGACACATGGGGACCTACATTAAGCTCCCACAGATGAACATGCTCATAGACACAATGATTATTCAGTAAACAAAGTGTGTGTGTGAGCGGACGCACCTGCAGGACTGGCGTTGACGAGCTGCAGGTTCACATACGGACACAGCAGAGACTCGGAGCTGCTCACATCTGCAGGACTCGAACCCGCAGCCGAGCTCACAGTCAGAGTCCTGCCGCTCAGAGACAGCAGATCAGTGCTGCTGCTGAGTGCTGGAACACACACACACGCATTAACACATGTGCACACAAACATGCGCACACACACACACATACTAGTAGCACTTCCACATAAATGGATCGAGGTTGTTTTTATTCATAGATATATACACAAGATATGGCATAGGGACCCTGAGTATGCGTCAATAGCGCCGCCACATTGGTACAGTGCTCCCAGAACTAGTGTCATTCAACCGCACTAGTCAAGACAGTGTTATTACGTGAAGATGCGGGACTTTAGCGCTGTCTACGGGTGTAGTAACGAGCAAACAAAGAAAACAAAGCACAAAGGCAGAACATTTCATAGGTAATATTACGTTTCTTTCTGTTTTTGTATTTTCTGAACTTTTGTGCTAATCAGGTCACGTTATTGATGATAACAGTCACTTACTGCATTCACCATACGGCACATAGATATATACATTCGATGTCACCTGGCCTATTGTTGTCTATTGGACAGAATGCGTCAATAGCGCCGCCACATTGGTACAGGGTAGCGCTCCTTTGAAATGAATGCGGGACCAAGGTACAGTGGAGGACTGTGGCCATGCAAAGCCAGAGATATACACATATACACATATATCTATGATCGGGAGTTTTCCTGGATGTTAGTATGTATTTTTTTTTTCTAATTACGAAAATTATAATTTTACATCACTTTTCTACATTGATGGATCAGTGACCGCACGGGCATTCCTGACAAAAAGCTTGTGTTTGTGTGTACAGAAATGTACTATTCACCCTCCCTGTTAAATTTGATCTAATCATGTCCTGAAACACACCTCCTCTCCTGCTTTCACTTCTCATACTGACGGAGAGAGCGATTCGGTTGTGAATGAATCCCCCGAACGACTCTT